CGCTTGTGCGGCATAGGTTTGTTCAGTGAACGTAGTTTTGGTCGCGGGTGGGTCGCGGGCTCTCCACATCCACCTGGAAGGAATACAAAAGCAGCCCGCCGCAGGCGCCCAAAAAATTGGTTTGTACAGTGAGCGTGGAATGGGTCGCGGGTGGGCCGCGGGTTCTCCACCGGGGACGAATGTAAAAAATGCCCGCCGCAGGCGCCGAAACATGTGGTATGTGCCCTGATCGCGGTCGCGGGTGGGGCGCGGGCTCTCCACCTGAAACGAATGCAAAAGATGCCTGCCGCAGGCGCCGAACAATGTGGTTTGTACCTTGAACGTGGTTTGGGTCGCGGGTTGGTCGCGAGTTGGTCGCGCGGTGGGTCGCGGGCTTTCCACCTGGAAGGAATGCAAAAAAAAACCCGCCGCAGGCGGCGAAAATGGTGGTTTGTACCTTGAACGTGGTTTGGGTCGAAGGTGGGTCGCGGGTGGGTCGCGGGGTTGGTCGCGGGTGGGTCGCGGGTGGGTCGCGGGTGGGTCGCGGGTGGGTCGCGGGTGGGTCGCGGGGTGGGCCGCGGGCGGGTCGCGGGGTGTGTCGCGGGTGTGTCGCGGGTGGGTCGCGGGTGGGTCGCGGGGTGGGTCGTGGGGCGGGTCGCGGGGTGGGTCGCGGGTGGGTCGCGGGTGGGTCGCGGGTGGGTCGCGGGGTGGGTCGCGGGGTGGGTCGCGGGGTGGGTCGCGGTTGGGTCGCGGGTGGGTCGCGGGTGGGTCGCGGGGTGGGTCGCGGGGTGGGTCGCGGGTGGGTCGCGGGGCGGGTCGCGGGTGGGACGTGAGGTTCGTCGCTACGATGGTAGTCGCGGGGGACGTGATGAGGGTGGTCAAGACGAGGAGGACGATTGGGATACGGAGGAGGATCAGGACGCGGATTGTGGAATGCCATATCATGGGACAATTTTGATCTCAAGATTTGGGGGGCCGTAATGAAGATGCCGAGGGTCATGATGATGATAACGATGGCGATGACGATGCTGCGGACTATGGCGATGACGAAGCCGATGACGATGACGATGGCGACGTTGCTGATGGTGGTGACGATGATGATGACGATGCTGATGGTGATGATGATGGCAATGACGATGACGATGGTGATGACGGTGACGATGGTGATGATGATGGCGACTTTGCTGATGATGGTGATGTTGGTGATGATGATGATGATTATGATGATGATGATGTAGTTGATGATTGATGACGATTGTGATGATGCTGATGTTGATGATGATGTTGATGATGATGATACTGGTGATGATGATGATGGTGATGATGATGACGTGGCTTTAGTCGGATCCTATTAGAGCTGGGCGCAGCTCTAGTAAGATCAGAATAGAGCTGGACGCAGCTCCAGTAGGATCTTAACAGAGTTCGACGCAACTCTAGTAGGATGCGAGTAGAGCTGGACGCAGCCCTCGTAGGATTCGATTCGAGCTGGGCGCAGACCTAATAGGATCGTAGTATAGCTGGACGCAGCTCGAATATGATTTTATGAGAGTTGGGCGCAGCGCTAACAGGATTATATGAGAGCTGGACGCAACTCTGGTATAATTCGGATCGATTTGCTGCAGGAGCTCGCTTCGCTGGCGCGCACATACATGTTCTGTTGAGGATTGACTTGAAAACTCGTGCTGGGCATTCTTTTTGATTCATTTCCATTGGCTTGTGGTGGTGTTTGTTGCGCGGTTGCGGTTGCGATCCCCCCCCCCGCAACTGGGGACCAGGGTACCAGTAACCCGTGCTCGCCAGCAGGGGAGGCCGGGGATTTGGTACATTGCCCCCTCCCCGGTACCAGAAACCCGTCCTCGCTTTGTTGTCGTTGTTGCTGTTGCTGTTGCTGTTGCGTGTTGTCGTCGTCCCCCCCGCGACCCGCCCGCGACCAACCCGCGACCCACCTGCGACCCACCCGCGACCCACCCCGCGACCCACCCCGCGACCCACCCCGCGACCCACCCGCGACCCACCCCGCGACCCACCCCGCGACCCACCCGCGACCCGCGACCCACTCCGTGACCCGCCCGCGGCTCATCCGCGACCCACCCCGCGACCACCCCGCGACCCACCCGCGACCCGCCCGCGACCCACCCGGCGACCCACCCTGCGACCCAGCCCGCGACCCACCAGCGACCCACCCCGCGACCCACCCGCGACCCGCCCGCGACCCACACGAGACCGATGCGCGACCCACCCGCGACCCACCCGCGACCCGGCCCGCGACCCACCCGCGACCCACCCCGCGATCCAACCACATTGTTTTAACGAAGAAATCGGCACCTGCGGCGGGCTTGCTGCATTAGTTGTAAAAGTTTAGCGCCTGCGGCGGGCTTCTTCAGAGCCTCGCAGACTGACGACGTCCTCGCCGCCCCTCACTCTTATCCGCAACTGCGGGGTGCTACGTGGAATTCTATGCTTTGTTTTAAAAAGGGTCCGGTAATGCCCAAGCGGACCCCGATATCGCCCCAAGAGGCCCCCCAACAGGGCCCGGGCGCGCTGATGATGATGCCGTTGATGGCCCCCCCAGAGGCCCCCCGAAGAGGGCCCCACGGGCGGCCGAGGGTCCCCCATGATGAGGATGAGGCTGATAATGATGCGGTTGATGATGATGATGGTGATGACAATGACGATGGTGCCTCGATGATGATGATGATGTTGATGATGATGACGATGACGATGCTGGTGTCCCGATGATGATAATGATGTTGATGATGAGGATGATGATGAGGTGATGCTGATGAGTTCCATGATGGTGGCCCGATGCTGATGTTGATGATGATGATGGTGTCCCGATAATGATGATGATGATGATGATGATGATGATGATGATGATGATGATGATGATGATGTTGGTGATGATGATGATGATGATAATAATTGTGGTGATGGTGATGGTGACGATGATTATGGTGTCCCGATGATGATGATGTTGGTGATGATGTTGCTGGTGATGATGAAGATGGTGTCCCAATGATGATGTTTGTGATGTTGTTCATGATGATGATGGTTGTATTCCGATGATGATGATGATGATGATGGTGACGATGATGATGGCGCCTCGATGATGATGATGATGTTGATGATGATGACGATGACGATGCTGGTGTCCCGATGATAATGATGTTGATGATGAGGATGATGATGAGTTGATGCTGATGAGTTTGATGATGGTGGCCCGCTGCTGATGTTGATGATGATCATGTCCCGATGGTGATGATGGTGGTGATGATGATGGCGACGATGATGGTGGTGTCCCAATGATGATGGTGTTGGTGATGATGTTGCTGATGATGATGATGTTGATTTCGGTGCCCCCCTGATGATGATGATGGTTGTGATGTTGTTCATGATGATGATGGTGGTGTTCCGATGATGATGATGGTGGCCCGATGATGATGCTGATGGTGATGATGATGGTTACGATGATGGTCTACCGATGATGGTGATGATGATGTGATGATAATTTTGCCCTGATGATGGTGATGTTGATGACGTTAATGTTGCTGCTGGTGATGGGTCCCGATGATGATCATGGTGTTGATGATCATGACGTTGATGATTATGAGGTGGTGAGATGATGTTGATGGTGTCCCGATCATGTTGATGATAAGATTGATGATGATGATGGTGACAATGATGATGGTGTCCCGATGATGATGATGATGTTGATGATGATGACGACGATGCTGGTGTCCCGATGATGGTGATGATGATGATGAGGATGATGATGAGGTGATGATGATGATTTTGATGATGGTGGCCCGATGATGATGATGGTAATGCTCAGGTTGATGATGATGATGGTGATGATGATGGTGATGGTGATTGTCACGATGATGATGGTGGCCCGATGATGATGTTGATGATGATGATGAGGTTGCTGATGATGATGATGGGGATGGTGTCCCGATGATGATGATGATGATGATGATGATGTTGTTGATGATGTTGTTCATGATGATGATGAGATGATGCTGCTGATGGTGGTGTTCCGATGATGATGATGGTGTCTCGATGATGATGATGATGATGGTGACGATGATGGTGTCCCGATGGTGATGATGGTGATGATGAAATTGATGCTGATGGTGATGAGGTGATGATGATGCTGTCCCGATGATGATGGTTATGATGATGATGATTATGATGATGATGATGATGATGATGATGATGATGTTGGTGGCGTTGATGACGATGATTTTTGATGATGATGATGGCGTTGATTGTGATATCGATTGGGATATCGATAGAGGAATCGATAGTGAAACCGATTGTGAGATATATTGCGAGATTGATAGTGTGATCGATAGTGAGATCGGTTGTGAGGTCGATAGTCAGATTGTCTGTGAGATCGATCGAATGAAATAGATCGAGTGAGATCGATTCTGAGATCGATCGAGTGAGATTGATCGAGCGAGACCGATAGTGAGATCGATAGTGAGATCGATAGTGCGACCGATCGAGTGAGACGTTGGCTCCTCCCCCCCGAACCTCCTTATAACCCGAAGGGTGGTCGTATAGGTATATATATATGTATATATATATAGAGAGAGAGAGAGAAAAAGAGAGAGAGAGAGAGAGAGACACCAGTAGCTGCGCCTCGCCGGGAGCGTTTCAGAGATCCCGAATCTTCCCGAGCGGCCGCTGGTGATCCGAGCTAACACCCAAGCCAGACGATGAGAGGAGGAGGAGGAGGAGGAGGAGGAGGCGGAGGGACGAACACGAGGACAAGGACGAGGAGGAGGAGGAGGAAGGCGGAGGAGGACAAGGACCAGGACCAGGAGAACGAGGCAGGAGGAGACGAATTCGGACGAGGACGCGCACGAGGAGGAAGGGGGGAGGAGGCGGACGAGGACGTTCACGAGGAGGGGGGGAGGATGAGGATGAGGAGGAGGACGGACCAGGATGAGGAGAATCAGGAGTGATAGCGGCACCGGAGATCTGTGCGACAATCGGCCCCTGCGGCCGCGCGGCAGGCGCCGACCCCTCGCAGAGGGACCACGCCGGGCAGCCGCCGATCGCGCATATCCCGAGGCGGGGGAACGTCTTCGCAGCGGCAGCGCTATAGGAGGGGAGCATCGGATCAGAAGGGGGATGATGCGTCGACCCTCTCATCCTCCCTCCTCCTCCTCGTCCTCTTCCTCCTCCCTCCTCGTCCTCTTCCTCCTCCTCCTCGTCCCTCCTGCTCCACCGCTTCCCTGTTCATTCTACCTCCTTCTCCCCCCCCCATCGTCCTTCCTCCTCCTCCTCCTCCTCCTCTTCTTCCTCTTCCTCCTCATTCTCTTCCTCCTCCTCTTCCACCTCCTCTTCCTCCCCCTCCACCTCCTCTCTCCTCCTCCTGCTGCTTCTCCTCCTCCTCATCCTCCTCCGCCCGGGCCCCCTCCTCCATTCTCTTCCTCGTCCATCCTCGTCCCTCCTCCTCCTTCTCTTCCTTCTCTTTCTCGTCCCTGTCTCCTCGTCCTCCTCCTCCTCCTCCTCCTCCTCATCCCTCCTCTGGAGGCCGCTGATTGCCGCCAACGCAATGCTGCCCCCTCAACCCCCTTTCCCCTCCAACCCCGCTCACCCGCGTGCGCTCCTGCGCGTGCGCTCCTCCACTTCACTCTGCTTCTGCTGTGGCCTCCTCCCCCCTTCGCAAGATCCGCTGGCCGCACCCCTCTCCTGTCCCAGCCCCTCCGCCCCGGGGGGCTACCGTTGCAGGCGTGGAGGTTCTGCCCTATGAAGAGCACCACTCCTGCTTAGATGTTCTTGCTGGTTGCCAGCCAGTGTCCACCCTCGTTAGCAAACCAAAATATTTGGTTGCGAGACGGGGTTTCCCCAGGCGACGGGTGTCCCCCCTTGACAATCGTTCCTCCCACTCAGGGATTGTACACAGGCGGCCCGCTCGAAGTCCTTGCAGATCCTCCTCCTCCTCTTCCTTCTCCCCCTCGTCCTCCAATTTTCTGCGCTTCGCTAGCGTGAGCCATCGAGCCGCCGCGATTTGCCACTGGTGGAAACCATAAATGGAGAAGCCCGACTTCGCCGAGGTGGTCTCGGTAAGAGAACCAGGCACGCAACAGCGCAACATCCTCATTCCTCCTCCGTGTCCCTCCTTCCCTCCTCCCTTCGCCCTCCCTCCTCGTTTCCCCCTCACTCTTTCCTCATTCCCCTCGAAACATGTCACAGGATGGGCCCCTGCAGGTGAACTCTTCAAAGTCGGGGACGAAACAGGCGTCCCAGGTGAGCGTTCCGAATTCTGATAGAGAACCCTGGGGGATACATCACCATCATTATTGTTATCATCATCGTCGTCGCCGTGCTCATCACCATCATCAGCATCATCATCATCAGCAGCAGCAGCAGCATCATTATCACCAACACCATCATCCAAATCCGCAGCAGCATCAACATCGACAACAACATCATCACCATTGTCATCATCAAGTGCATCGTCGCCATCATCTACATCCTGATCATGACCCAGACCATGCTTACCACCAACATCATCAATATGGCGCTTGAACGACGCTGGCGTCGTTGCCAAAAGTGGTTGACGCCACGGAGCTGTGGGATCATCATCAGCACCATTCCCATCATCATCACCACCATAGTCAGCATTGTCATAATCATACACACACTCCTCTTCCGCGTCATGATTTCCACCCGCAACATCAGTGTTCCCATCAGTTGCACCATCATCAGCTTCATCATCATCACCATCATCATCACATCCATCATCACCATGATCCTCCTCTTCCTCCTCCTTCGCTCCCTCTCTCCTTCCCTCTCTCCTTCCCTCCCTCCTTCCCTCCCTTCCCTCGCCGCCCCGTGCGCACGGGTCCGTACCCGAGGGCGGGGGGGGCGCCGTCCTGTTGTTCCTCCTCCTCCTCGTCCTCCTCCTCCTCGTCCTCGTCGTCCTCCTCCTCCTCCTCCTCCTCCTCCTCCTCCTCCTCCTCCTCCTCCTCCTCCTACGCCTCAAGAGCGTTACTGGTGGGGGGGTTCACAGGGAAAGTAATTCGACCCCCAATCGCCCAGTCATCGCCGATGGAGCCGATAGCCGACCCCGCCTGGGAGCATGCAGGTTCGCCATCGGGGGGGGGGCAGATCGCCGATTCCAAGTCGATGTCCCCCGCCCCCCCCCGAGCTGCCCCCCCCCCCGTCGTCGCCCCTCACTCGTTCTCCTCTTCGGGAACGCCTGACACGGACGGTAGGGCACCTATTCCTCTGGCAAGTATGGCATGTGTAGCGTAATTATCAGCATGCGGGAGTGGGAGGTTGATCTTCCGCCGCCGTTTTCCCTATCAGGCTAGCTTGGGCGCCCGACCCAGAGTCTTGACACATCGCTTTACACCCGTCATACAGAACCTGTCGTTCACCATCCGCTGTACATTTCTAGTTGGTAGCGGATCACCTCGCTCCACCACCGTGCCCGCCGCCATGGCCCGCGAGGCTCTCTTCCGTGCCGGTGGCGACTGTTCTACATCGATGTCAACCCGTTCTACAGCCCGCTCCACGTGCGCGTTGCGCTTCCACGTCACCGCGGCAGAGGACCCGCCCCTAGGGGCCGTCTTGGCACTTCCCGCCCAGCCGCCAGCACCAGCGGAGCAGGGCACGCACGAGTACCATTACACGGACACCTACAACAACGACAGCGCCTCCCGCTCTGTCCCGCCAGGCATTTTCGAACTCTGTTTTGAGATGTTCGGAGGGTCCTTCGTCGTCACAGCACTCGCTTATGAGTGCTGCCGTCAGCGTCAGGCCGTCGAACGATCCGGCTTCCGCGCTCACGGCGTCGGCACAGGGCCCCGAACTACGCGCAATTGTGCTGCGGAAACCCAAGGGGGGAGGGGAAAAGGACACACCGCCCTCATTGCATCCTCACGCGGGCGTAGCCGACCATGTCAAGTCGTCGTTCGATCCGACGCCTGCGTCGTCGGCGTCGGCAAAGCGCCCCGCGCTTCCCGCAACTATGTCATGGAAGCCGGGCGAGGCGCGTGCGGGCAACAGCGTGGGCGCAGATAAGGGTCGGACAATTATTTTACCATCCGTCGGGGGGACCGTCGCGCCAGCTTGGGACTACTCGCTACCGTTTCTCACGGGTGAGACCGTCAGAGTCACTGGCGCGTCCCTTTTTTCTTGGCAGGCCTGGATCCCGATGCGTACATGTCTGGACTGTCGTGCAGCTGGCGGTGTTCAGCACGTTGACAATACGACGCGCGACGAGCACTCTTGCTTCTACGTGGCGGAGTGTTCCGCGTGCAGTCCGCGCGCCAACCGTTGGCGTTACCACTGCTAGGAGCGAATTCAGCGTGAAATTGTCTCCTCGTGTTGTTTCTTCCTCACATCCAAAGTAGGGTTCTCGCTTTCTCTGAACAGCCTCCGAGCAGGAACGCCTCCCTCCCACTCTCCGCCTCGCTCACGCATTCACCCCGTCATCGGTCACCACCACCATCGGTCATCATCATCACCACCATCATCGTCAGACTCAGTCACTCACCATCGACCACCATCGGCCATCGGTCATCATCATCATCATCAACATCACCACCGCCGCCATCATCAGATTCAGTCGCACGTCGCACACACATTCTTTCATCACTCAGCACCACTTTCTCTGGACACCCCGCGCAAGAACACAACGCTACCACATCCTCTTCCTCCTCCCCATCACCATCGGCATCATCATCATCAGCAGCATCAATCATCACCGTCATGAGCCTCGTCCGTGGGTGAATTGTGAGGGAATCTCAGGCGGGAGCCCCTTCCTTATGGGGCCCACACTTTATGTTGGTAATCCGAGCGGGTCGGTCACCGGAAACTTGTTTTTGTCGTCACTTTCGGGTTCCTCAGGCTTCAATACGGAGGAAGTATCAGGCGGGAGCTTCGTCAGTGAGTGAATTGTGAGGAAGTCTCGGGCGGGAGCCCCTTCCCTATGGGGCCCAGCGCGGCGTTTTTGGTGCACGTAGCCGGGCCTGATTACCCGGACGTTGGGCCCTGAGGTTTTCGTTGTTATTCGTTGGTTCCTTGAATGGCTTATTTCTTTCAGACTGGAGCAAGGGCGAAGCGTCTTGGCTCGCCTATAGGACCAGCAGACAAGTTCTTGGAACCTTCTATGGTCCGCACGGGATGCTCTCATAACGCTTATGTTTGAGATCGTGATGTTCCAACACGTCGGTTTTATGTTGTAATACATCGTTGTTGCTCTAATGATGCTGCGTGGTAGACCTATACAGGTATGCCGGGACGCTTGTGGCGTGGTAGACCTATGGTATACTTGTTTAACATATTCCGTCGCGTGGTGAAACAAAGTATGCCGGCAGGTTTCCGGCCAAGATGGACCTGCAGGGGCCCATGCTTGGTTCTGGGACAGTCCCAAGGAAGACGCAGGATGAGAGCGGGTCCCCCGAAATGGGTCGAGATTTCCGAGAGGGTCGACGCTGTGGAAAAAAACATGACGACTGGGGTTTGTCAGACGGGGCTGCGACGAGGATACATCCGCTCCAGAGAGTTCTGGAAAGCTCTCAGAGCGCGCCCGAGACATCCTCCAGAATTGCCAGGTCTCAGAGATTCCCTATTTATCATTGATCCTCGCCCTCGCTTCGTCTTAGTCTGAGTTTTCGCTGGTTGTTCGTTGGTTCCTGTAGGTTTTTTCTCGCTGTGTGCGACTTCCAGGCCGAGCAGCGCAATCCTGGAGCCCATCTGAGCGGGCCCCATTTTTGGCGGAAGAGAGAGGAGGAGGAGGAGGAGGAGGAGGAGGAGGAGGAGGAGGAGGGGAAGGAGAGAGAAGAGAAAGGAAACGGAGGGGGAGGAGACGAGGAGGAGGTGGAGGAGGAGGAGGAGGAAATATGCGGGGGAATATGTCTGGCGAGTGTGGTTAAAACTCAGGCCACCGATTCAGGTAAGGAGGAAGGTGCGCATCGCCCAGCGTCACACACGCTGTGGGCACGCGGGGGAAATAGGAGGAGGCGGAGAAGGAGGGAGGAGGAGGAGGAGGAGGAGGGAGGAGGAGGAGGAGGAGGAGGAGGAGGAGGAGCATGAGGAGGCGGTGGAGGTGGCGTCACGATGCTCCTCGACGCATCCGAGCAGCTGCTCCGTGGCCCCGCCGCACCCGGCGCGCCCACGCGCCCCCAGGCAGAGCGCATGCCTGCGCCAGAAGCTGCAGCGGGCGGAGCGCTGGTGGTGCCAGCGCGGGCCGGGGCCCTGGCGGTCCCCGGCGGCGGCGTCGGCGACGGTTTCGGCCACGCGCGGAGGCGCGTCTGCGCTCGTGGGACTCGTCGGGGCTGTCCCTCGACAGGGGGAAGATGCAAAAATAGTTAAGAAATAGTCTGGGGACGGCTTGTTGACAATTTTGTAGCAGTTTTGGTTCATGTTTGGGTATGTTCATTTTTCGTCCAAAATCCGCCTGTAGGGGGACATGCTCCACCTAACGCTTATGGGGCTCGTCGGGGCGAGGGTGTGCTGCTGACCACCATAGGTCTGCGCGCGAGCACTAGCATGTGGGTGGAGGGCCATACTTTCGATCGTCACCGTTAATCGATGGGGAGGAGGGCCCAGGTAGCGATTGTTACGCGCCGGAGGGTAAAAACAACAAATCGATGTCGCGAATCTTGTCAACGCCGATGTTGGCCACCGCCCATGCCACGAGTTGACGCTTACCAAGACGGGTTGTGCCCAAGATCGGTACGGCCCTTCTGCGTTCTGTTATGGTCATGGCCCGCGTTGTCTGTCCTCCACGACGACAAGCAAGCAAGCAATATGACGACGAGCGCGAGGGACGACTGTCGACGACAACGTTGACCGCGACGACAGATGACACGGATAATTATCGACGACGTCGCCATTGAGGCCCGATAGTTCGGCCACGCGCAGAGGGGGGCAGGGGGAGGGGGTGGAAGGCTTCTGAGAAGCACCCGTGCTTCTTAGAAGGCGCGGGTTTGATCTGTAGATGTAGGGCCGTCGCTTTCTAAGGAGCGGCCTTCGGGGCGGGGATCAATGCAAACGAGGGTCAGCCAGAACGCCAGATTTTGGAGGCCAGGGTCGCATTGACCTGGAATTGGGTGCAGGATCCTGCAAGATCTTGCAGGACCCTGCAAGGTCTGACATCTCCCCGAAGCCTCCTTCTGAGAAGCCTTCCCCCCTCCCCCTACCCCCTTGCGCGAGCCGCCAGACAACGACGTCAACGACCGCGGGGGCGTCGGCCGGCGGCCGGCGATCGGGGGCGTCCAAGAGAGGGGCGTGCAACATGGGGGGTTCGCAAATCATGGCCAGAGGCACGTAGGGAGGGGCCAAGGCGAACGGGGCTAGGACGAGGATAAATCCGTTCCAGATCGTCCCGGAACGCTCCCAGAGCGTCCCGGAACGCGTTGAGAAGGCCGCGGCGCCCGAGACATCCTCCAATGGGGGGGGGTCTCAGAGATTCCCGATGCATCTCCAGCCGGTTTTCTCTTCGTCCTGGCTGGTCTTGCCGAGGGGCGCACTCTGCGCGCCGCCGAGCCCCTCGCGCGCGCCGCCGGCATTGCGGCGCCGAATCGCGCCGAGGTTCCGGGTGGTCTGCGCGTCCTTCGCTCGGGACGCCGCCGCCCCGCCGCCCGTCGAGCCGAGGGCGGTTCGTCCTCCTTCCCCTCCTTTTTCTTCCTCCTCCTCCTCCTCCTCCTTCTTCTCCTAGCCTTCCACCTCCTCCTCCTCCTCCTTTTCCTTCTCCCCTCCTTCTCCTCCTTCTCCTTTCCCTTCTTCTCCTGTTTCCTCCTCCTGTTCCTTCCCCCTTTCCTCCTAGCCGTTCTGGCTCAGGCGATTGTTGTCTGAGTTTGGTGCCGCCGATTTGTCCGAGCGGCTGGGTGGCAGCGAGCCATCTTGGCGCGGGCCCCGTCGATCGCGCGCCTCTTTCCCGTGTGCTGCGGTGCCTCTCTCGTGCAGCCATGGCGAAGCAACAAGAGGATGGTGGGGATCCGAGATCTTGGCGGTGTCGTTTCTGCTTCTACCCACCTCTACGGGGGAACGTTTTTCCAACAAAGCTACGAGGGGCAATGGCTTCACGTGCCGTCGTAGCAAGGGGGCCTGGTCCACAGCTACATCAACCCTCTTGAACCCTCTATGCATGCGCGTGCAGGCCGTGCCTCCAAGTCTGGCGGTGAACCGAAGCCGTGGAATCTCGCTGGTCGGTTGAAGTAGGCACAGCTGCAAATCAAGAACCTGCAGTAGGCCGCTGCGGTCATGCCGCCCCGCAAGGACGTCGACGTGCCTGCCATCGAAGGAGGACATGCTCGTCGATGATGACAGTTTCGATGAGGGCGAGCTGCAGGCCCGCATTCATGAGCTACACAAGCGACTTGAGCTGACAGGTAAGGCCACGGGCGTGCAATGGCCACGTCTACGGGATGCTCTCAGAGAAAGGAAGGAGGCCATTCATGCGAATATCAATAAGCACTAGCCCGTGGCTGCTCATATGTTCACGGTCAGCAGACAAATGGCAGCGGAGTCTCAGCGGATTGAGAAGCTCAGGCATTCGATCGAGCAGTAGAAGGCGCGTATGGCTGAGTTGCAGCAGAAGTTGGAAGCGCCGGTCAAGGACGTGGCTGACAAGGAGCAGATGTATGAGAAGCTGCGAATTCGTGAGATGCAGCTGGCCAAGGCGGCTATGCATCCGCCTCGTTAGGAGCATGCCCAAGATGGTTCTGGTACCATTGGTGCGCCTGGCCTGGGCGCCATACTTAAGCAGCTGGGTGCTGGCGAGACGGCCACGCAGACGGCGGAGGGAATTGCCAAGGAGCTGCCAGCGACCATCACTAACGCGCACATCCAGGTCGCGGGGGCGCAGGGCATCGCCGAGTCACAGTCTGGCACGCAGCAGCAGCAGCTTGGGCCTCAGCACGCGGCGGAGCTCGCGTCGCCCAATGCTGAGTTTGCTCCGGGCCCCTCGGCCATATTGGTACGCGACGCTGACATCGGCGCCTTGCGAGAGCAGCTCCAGCAGGTCGGCGTCGCGGTGGCAGACGAAGCCAGCGATGATGAAGTCCGTGAAGCAGCTGGTTGTTTGTTCTCGTGACGCGCGGGGTCGACGAGTGCATTTTCCGCGTGCTAGCACTGTGGCCTTGAGGCTTCTGATAATGAGGATTGTAACGATTGGCGATATGACGAGTTCCTTTGTTTTGGCCAGTGGTCACAGCATCTCTCGACATGAAGAAAGATTGCTGGGGCCAATCACTTCGCAGGTAGACGGT